AACATCAACCTTCCTGCTCCTCTGATGCTGCTTGGCCTGCTGTGTTCATCCAGCTCTACACCTTGTTATCTCAGATTCTCCAGCATCTGCAGTTCCTACTATCTCTTGTTCTTTCTAAATGTTGATTTTTTAAAAAAACCCAGCTGTTGTCACGTGTTACTATTGGAAGCGATATTCCTGAAAGTGGTTTATTTTCATCTAGTTACCCAGGGTTTCTTTTCTCTGCACAGTATTTCTGGCCTGAAGGGACCACCTTGCTAACGATCTCTCACTAGCTCCTGGTACATTCAGTGGCCACACTGTGTGCAAGAACCTTGGGAGAAAGCGTTGTGAGGCTATTTGACAGCTGGGGGCAGCACAGATCGGTCCTTTTGCAGCTGCTCAGGACCTGCTCGATGGGAATTGTTAAGCAATACAGAAAAGAAAAACCCAAGGTCTGTTTAATTTGCTTCCCAGCAGCAGGGTAGTCATGTAAATCTTGTTTTTATTCTTTGACCAGTCGGGGCTGGTACTAACAAGGTGGGTTGCCCACCTATTATTTCCTGAACATTTCAGAGGGCATTTAAAAGTCAACCACAGCAGTGTGGGTCTGGAGTCACAAGTAGGCACAAGCTGGGTAAGAATGGCAGATTTCCTTCCCTAAAAGGATACTTGTGAACCAGATGGGATTTTACAGTGATCACTGATAGTTGCCATCACTAAAGCTAGCTCTATATTCCATATAATAAAATTTAAATTCCAAAAGCTGCCATGGTGTGATTTGAACCTGTGATGACCCCACAACATTAGTGTGTAGATTATAAACGAACAAGTCTATTACCACGCCACTGCTTCCCTCACGTGAAGCAGATGCTGATTAATCATAGCAATCAATCACTATTGATTCATCCACCAAAATACAGAGGTTAGAAGAATCCCCCAACACTGGAAATCTTTGGAAACCACAGTTGCCAGTTCCTACCTTTCACTCACCACACCTCATGGTTGAAATTACCCAGATACTGGATTGCATTACAGTCCCTTCTCAGTGCGTCCATCAAGCCAATTTTATATTGTCAAGTGCAACTTCTGCACACATCTTGATATATCCCATGATTAAAATAAAAATAGCATGCATTCCAAATCACGTCACCCTGTGTAAAATCAGTTCCCATCTCTTAAGGCATTAATGAATAGAGACCAAGGGCATGGAAAAAGGACTTCGAGCACAGATTAGCCATGATGTAACTGAATGGTGGTACAGGCTTGAAGGGCTGAATGGCCAAACTCTGTTCCTGTGTTCTTATGTCATCCACCCTCTTGTTCCTTTACCTTAAAATCAGTGTCCTCTGGCTTGCAAACCTGTTTTGGAGGAGACAGATTTCCCATTTTATCTATAAAAAGCTCAATGCAATTTTGAACATTGCTTTTAAATCATCTCTGAAATCCCTTTGCTGCAAGCAGAACAATTCAGTTTCACTAATAGTGCCATATAAGTAAAATCCCTAATCACTCATGACAAAAACTCTTCATCCAGAAGCAAAGAGGAGTTTCTTGTTTCCCCGTTAACCAGATTTCTTGCCTGCTGAGGGGGCTGGCATACACTAGATAAGTACAAATTACTTGCCCTTCAGTGCTCTGCCTTAAGGTGTCATTTCTCACATGAACCAGAGCTACAGTGAGGTAATTGTCTTCTCCGTAGAACGGGGGGGATATTTTTAAATCACTACCCTCTCACCTTAAAAAAGACATGAGGGGCAATTTTTATTCCCCACACAGAGAGGGTGGTTCACATGTGGAAGGAACTTCCTGAGGAAGTGGTGGATGTGGCTACAATTACAACATTTGAAAGACGTTTGGATAAGTACACAAATAGGAAAAGTTTGGAGGGATATGGGCCAGGAGCAGGCAGGTGGGACTGGTTTAAGTTTGGGATTATGGTCAGCATGGACAGGTTGGATCGAAGGGTCTGTTTCCATGCTGTATGATTCAGACTATAGAGCAACAAGGAGTGGGAACTGAGCTCGTCCTGTCTGTTTTTCAAAACAAAACCTCACTGTGATACCACTGGCTGCTTTATTATCCTAATTGGGATCAGCCAAGTCACGAGATGCTGGGAAAACTGAGCTGAGTTCTTCCAGCCTGATATAAACCAATCGCTCACTGAAACAAGTAGCCAGCTACAGGCCGGAGGCTTTGCCAAGTTGGACCCACCTGAAAAGCAACCATTTCATCCCGAATTCAGAAATGCACCACACATTTACAAGTTTATGAAAACTTTTATTCGCTTTTCCTGATACATGCGAAAGGAATGAAAAAACGTGAAAGAGGATTCATTGATGGAGTAGCTGAATCAAAAAAAAATCACAAATTAAATACAAACCTCATCTGAAAGCTTGATGTCTTTATAAAATATGATAAACAGATAAATTACACACTACTCAAAAAACTGCCCTCCCTCCAAAAATAAAAATCAATAAAATCACATCAACAATCCTACACAGACAAAATGTACATTGGAAAATCTGCACCACACAAAAACAATAAAATTTAAGACTTCTTCACTCTTTATACACAAATATTACAGAGAATGATAAAATTCCAAGTAAACTTTTTTTTAAGACATTGATGGTTGCAGCTGCAATGCTTGGAACATTTTTTTCCCCACTTGTTCAGCTTCAGATTTAGGTTGTTTATGCAAATGTCTTATAAAAAAAGTTATTTTGTAGTCCAGTTTATACAAGAAATTGCAAATGCACAAGCTGTCAGCATGCAGTGGTAAAGAGGACTGCATTATCTGTAAGGGAACAGTCACAATACAGGGCAGTTGTTTTTGGTTTAAATTTGAAGTATTAACTTATGTAGTGCAGTTTAACTACAGTAAGTATTTTCCACCCTCTTATCCTGGACACACGTGAACACACTCTTTCTAACAAACGCTATGGTTTACTTTGCAGCAAAGGTAACACCGGCCACACCATAAGGTTCTATTATAGTACACTCAATGACCCCTTGACCGCAGTAGCACACTTCCTCTGATCTTGGATCCTCCTCATTCCTTTTGCCTAACATACGCTAGCTGCAAGTCTGAGCTTGTAACAATCTCCTGACCGCTCGACACATGGATCTGATGGTTTGTGCCATCCGTTTGATTGGATCATTGGAGCTCTCTGCCAGTTCTGTGCTGCTCCCCATGGAGCCACACAGCGTATTTCAAACAACGAAAAATCCATTCACCCTGCAGTTCTGAGAGACGGCACTGTGAATATTTCTGCACAGGTGCTTCACGTATTCAACAGTCCTTTACTGGAAGTGTTAAACTTGATTAATTCTGTTAACCCCCCGCAAAACACCCAGCAAAACAATTTCAGATGAACGAGTGTCAAGCATTCTTGCATGACTGTTTCTCAGTACCATTTCATAGTCACTGGATTGAGACAATATTAGGGGCTGCGTGTAGAAATAGGTCAAGAAACAATAGGGCCTAAAATAACAACAAGAACTTGTGAATACAACTGTTTCAGTGTTGAACAGCCAGGAGTTGTCTAACTAGGTGCCTGTGAACGGAGATGCTAAAATCCCACATGGTCACTGATTGCAACTGCTGAACATCGAGGTGGTACCTGGCCTGGTGAAAACTCCATCCAGCCAACTGCATTGACTTGCTGTGTGGGATCGTGTACTGAGCCAAACTGTAGCCAGACTAGCACAAGCGCATGTGTTTTTTCTTTCCCCTCAGATCCTCACAAAAGAGGGATGAAAGGAACCCAGTGGGCTGGTTCCAGCTCATTTTGTGACTGTTCCCCTTTCAAGAACAGATTTCAACAAAATATAAAATCGTAGTTTGACCACATCAAGACGACTGCATCAACTTAGCAGCTCTAGGTTAACATTCAGCTGCTGGTTCTCTTGTTTAATCAATGATTCCACACGATTTTTCTATAATAGTCTTTTCTGCAGTGTATAATCCCGAGAAAGGGATGATCACAAAAATTCCAGAATATTCAGTAGTCACTGATTCACCTCAGCAATTCCAATTTTGATTAAGTTCTGAATTAAAAAAAAAACAAACCTAAAGCAATTTATACAAATATAACGTATACAAAGAGCATTTACATTTATTAGATCAAACTTCCTGAGCGATCTTAAAATGGAATTTTCTAGAAAATAATTTAGTCTGAGAGAAAGTGCTTTAATAACTTCCTATATTAATGTTAGACCTGGGTGACTGCTTTTTAAATATCATTTGCAATATTACTTTCTCTTATATATTGGAAACAAAGCCTTTTGATTAAAACTTTCAACTAAAATTAAATAGCTTCATTGAAATCTATTGACTGTATTGCAGATTATCAAAAGGTCAGAGAGCATGGTATTACTATCGCAACTAAGTGGTTTATGATGAAACTCCTACACTGAGTTTTAAGTGGTTTGCCACTTGTCCCACTTTGATCACCCCACCTCTTCCCTCAAGGCTTTGCATTGAGAGGAACTGTTACATAGTTGATGGCTATTTCCTCTCTCCCCTCCATCCAACCTTGCTGATATTTTTCCAAGCACAGATTTAGGATGATGAGCTGGTCAGCTGCAGAGAGCATCGTAGTTACGTCCCCACACAAAAAGCATTTTCTTTAGTAGTGGGTGGGAAAAGACCTAAGGGCAGTCACTACTCAATGATGACCAGAGACCCAGTCTCCTCCCAATCCTCCACGGATTCAGGAAGCAGCTGCACCTCTCCACTCTGCGGCCCGAATCCAGCCGCTAGAGACTAAAAGGTTAAACTTGGAACCTTCTCATCCCGATGTCCTAATATGTGTAGGGGATGATGCCTTGCCCCTCATGTCTATCTGCAACCTTAAAAGAACACAAAATACGAGAGAGCCAGAGTGTTGTGCGCACGAAGCTGGGACAAAGGCGGTGCGAATACACTGGGACATACTGGTTTTCGATCCCACGGACAGACAGGTTTACCCTGGAGTAAACGCTTTGGCTTTTGTGCAGCTGGGAACCACTTGAGGAAAAAGAGGTTTTAAAAATAAAGCTAATTAAACAAGGGCAACCTATATTTACTGAAGCATAATTTCTGACTGAAAGGTTTCTTTTTAAAAAGAAAGCTGCTGCTTTCTACTAAAGCACATCACACTGACAGTCTTTACTGAACCTGCCAAGTTTTGGAGGAAGACACTTGATCAAACATTTATCAATGGATAATAATTATTGACGAATGGTAGCTAGCAGGAGTTGGGGCAGTAGGGAGGAAGGGTTAGGGTTAGGCTTGTAGATTTAACTACTGCCTAAAAAGCCATTTCTGCTGACCAGTTCCATTCTATGATGTGAAAGGAGGTACAGGCAGAGCTGGCACTGCAAGGGTTAGCAGTGCCCACTAGTTGCTGACCCGGTGATGTCGCACAGCTCACATTTCTTCCCTCTACCTCCAGTGTCCGTCAAAAAGCTAACACCACCTGCAATTTTTGTAAAATGGCTGCTGTGGTTCAGCAAGTTCCAGAATTCTCCGCCCACACCCCACCACCCGACACCACCACTGAGATGGACTGTGACTCCAGGTTACAGTTGCTCCAAAAGGTAGATGACGAAAGAGAAAAATAAACTGGGTTGAGATTCTGTGGGAGGGCTGGTGGAGTTCACTTTTTCTCTATGGTGCTGGAAAATATTTCTGCAAATTTCCTCAGCTGCTCGGTGGCTGACAGGGATTCCTCTTGGAGACGCTGATTGTTAACTCTCAGGTTCGCCACCTCTGCCTGCAGGACAATTTTATCCTCTTTCTCCTGTAGAGGGATTAGGGTAGGGTGAAGATGACAGGGTGAGTTTATATAATAGCCTTATATAACACGGAAAGTACAACATTGCTTGTTTGTTCTGACTTTTAAAAGTGCCTCATGAATGAATCATGTGAGGGTCAGACTGGGTAAGAATAGCAGATCTCCTCCCTTTAAAAAGGGACATTAGTGAACCAGATGGCTTTTTACCTCAAATTGATGATAATTATTGTGCTCACCATTAGACTGGCTTGCAATTCCAGATTGAATAGATTAATTTAAATGTTATCAATTGTGCAGTGGGATTTGACACTGTGTCTCCACAGCCCCTGGATGACTAGCCTGACATCATCATAGACCCTTCGGCCCAACAAGACCACGCCGACCCTCGGAGCATCCCACCCAGACCCATCTCCCTATAACCCACCCTAATCTGCACATCTTTGGACTGTGGGAGGAAGCTGGAGCACCTGGAGGAAACCCACGCAGACATGGGGAGAATGTGCAAACTCCACACAGACAGGCGCCCGAGGGTGGAATCAAACCTGGGTCCCTGGCGCTGTGAGGCAGCAGTGCTAACCACTGAGCCACCGTGCATTATCGCTGTGTAACCACCCTGAGTCCTTTCTGCTGTGCCATGTTGGTTGCTTCTGTGGCCATCACTTGTGAGCAGTTGCCATACATACGTACGTGCGTGCGTGTGTGCGTGCTCTCTCTCCCCCAACCTCTGGAATAAGAAATGTTTGTGTCTAAATTCTATTCCCAGGCCTCCTACGCTTCCAAGATTTCAACATCAGTTGCATGTTTTCTTTGGGTCTTCTGAAATATCAAGAGAATACTTTAGGGTAAGGCCTTGCAAATGACTGGTGATTAGAGAAAGAAACATTCCCCGTGTCCTACAGAAGGACAAATCAAAAACACTTGGTTTTCTGAGCCAGTTTTACAGGCACCTTAAGTGATTTGTGACTCAGATGGAAAAACTCCATCATTTATCATCCTGCTCTGACTAAACTGTGTATTCTATGACTGTATCCTCCATAAGAAATATCCATATATGGCCATGCATGCATCAGAGATGCAGAGCAATTAAAAACGTTTAAAGCGCAGAATGAGGCCATTGAGTCCATCAATCTCAAGTAATTACACCAGAAGTTTCCTTCGAAAGCAACGATTGAGGCAGGTACAAATTCAAGTGAATGGCACCAGCACAGTCACTGGGGGCCCATGATTCTAGCTGTTGATCTATAATGCATGAACATTACAAATTACACACTGAATGTTGCTTTTTGCTGGTTTTTAGGTGGGGGGTGCATTATATTGACAGTTACAGTGGGGTTGCATTGGGAAAGTGTTTGCGATTCTCTGTCCTAAATGTTGCAGCGGTCTCGGCATCAACTACTCCGTGGCACTACGATCCATACTTAAAACTTTTCCAAACTTCCCAGTCAGTCAATTTTAAATTGACAAATCTGAAACCAGGAGAAACAAGTCTTCCTTCTCACTCCAAACACTGTCATTATAAAAACATCCTTCTCTGTAACTGAGGAGGAAGGGCTTGCTTCTAAATCTCTCTTTAAAATGGCTTGCTCTGATGGGAGCACAAAGTGACAGTGGGCAGCATTTCGCTTGCTTGTTCAGGCTACAGAGGAATAAAAGTCTAGGACTTTTGAAGGAATCCTACCATCTTTACCCAATCCAGCCACAGCACTAACACCACACTCGTGGCCGATTCCTAGCTGTTCTGAAGTAGCCCACCAAGGCAATCAGTTCTACCCCCAGCTCCGAAACGTCAGGTAATTAATGCTACCCATGCCAGTGACACTCATGATCCACAAATGAATTTTTAAAAATGTGGCAAGCACAGTTCTCACCTTTAGCAGATCGTCCTGGAGTTGCTTCAATTGGATCTCGAGCTGGTAGACTTTCCCAGTTAGTGCCAATGCTGGCTCGTCACTGTAACAGAAGGGGTGCTCATTAAGATGCAGAAGTGTGTGTCAGTTGTGACAGTGTGTAGCTCTCCTGTCTTCTAAATCACAAAACGGATGGAGGGAGTAACTTAGAAAAATCAATCTCCAGAGAAGTGGTATGGAGTAAATTATTGGCGATGCAAGTAAACAATTGCCCGGGTCTTGTTGAACTTCAACCTATATTCTTAAAATAAGAGACCAACGAACTAGTTAATGCACTGGTTTTAATATTCCATGACTCCCTCGATTTGGAGATAGAAAGCAGAAACTACAGGCCTGTTAGCTTAACACAGGGAAAACGCTAGAAGCTATAAATAAAGACATTATCCAAGTGCTTGGCTACACATGCATGGTTTTGCTGAAGAAAAATCATGTTTGACCAATTCATTGCAGTTCTTTAAGAAGCTGTGCATAAAGGGTGTCCTTAGATTTCCACAAGGCATTTCAAAATGCCTCAAAAGGTTACCGCAGAAAATAAAAGCTCAGGGTAGCTTTGGCAGGGATAGAAGATCGGTTAACAGGAAGCCAAGAGGAGGCATAAACAGGTCTTTTTCATGTTGGCAGGATGTAATAATTGACATGTCACAGAAATTGGTGTTGGAACCTCAAATGTTTACAATTTATATAAATGACTAAGAAGAGTCAGAGAGTACGATTGCCAAATTTGCTGAGGATTCAAAAAAAAAATTAGGTAAAGTAAGCTGCAAAGAGGACATAAGAAGGCCACAAGATGATACAGGTTCAGTGAATGAGCCAAGATATGGCAAATGGAATATAATGAGGGAAATTGTGAAATTGCTGGAAAAGTTGAGCAGAACTGACCTGTTCTGAGGAAGGGTCACTGGGCCCAAAACATTAAATCTGCTTTCTCTCTGCAGATGCTGCCAGACCTGCTGAGCTTTTCCAGCAATTTCTGTTTTTGTTTCTGATTTCTAGCATCCACAGTTCCTTCGGTTGGAATTGTGAAAGTGTCCATTTTTTGCAGGAAGTAAAGCACACCATCTAAATGGTGACAGATTGCAGAGCTGAGATGCAGAGGGATCAGTGTGTCCTTGAGGATGAACCAAAGCATCAGTATGAAGGTACAGCAATTAGACAGGAAAGCTAATAGAATGTTATCATTTATCACAAGGGGAGTCAAATACAATAGCGAGGATTTGCTCCAGAGCACTGTACGGTTTTGGTCACCTTATTTATGGAATGATGTAAAACAGAAAGGCAGTGACATTTTTCTGAGGATTGAGTGTCTTTGGAATACTTTTCCTCACCAGATATGAAATGTTAACTCTGATCTTTTTTTCACAGATGCTGCCAGACCTGCTGAGCTTTTTCAGCGACTTCTGTTGTTGTTCAAGATCAGTCAACGATCCCACTACTTGGAATGTCTGGCCAAATGACAGAGGTCTGGGTTATGCCTAGCTCTGAGTGTATTGCTGTGGAACAGCCAGCTACACTTTAGAAACTCCTCCACTGCCTTCAAGCATTTGGACGGGAATTGCTGGAGAGATTCCTCTCCCTCCCTCCATCCAACCTTCTTATTTTGGGCCTCTCTCAATTAGCTGCAGGGACAATATGATGGCAATGCTGCAGTCACTGTGCTCTGTGGAGTAAGTTTGATAAACCAGTTTCCCCTCCCTGCAACCAGTTAATTCTCTGTTTCCATGCAACTCACTTTCTCTCAATGCACAACTCGTGCGCTGGGGGGGGGGGGGGGACACAACATTAACTGGCCTCAGAAGAGGAGTTGTAAAAACCAAATTCCACCTCATGCCTCACATTAATCTCAACCCCTGCAGACTACAGTTCTAAGCTAGAACTCACTTTGTAGCTGACATGGCAAGCTAACTGCCAACTGGAAAATAAATCCCGCAACTACCTGAGCTTTTAACTGACTGAAGTGACCAATGGAAGGACTAAAAGCAACTATTTCATTGGCTAAACTGACAACTTCTGCTAAGTACATTGGCTCTAAATCACCTTTCCCAAATTACCGTGTATTCTCACTTCCAATGCTTCAGTAATTCAATATCAACTATGCATCAATAAGCTGGGTGATGGGTTCAGATCCAGTAATGTTATTATATCTCAGATATTAATAAATGCTTATCTGATACATGTTAATCACAGGCTGCATATTCCTTTCACTGAAATGTTTCAATTGTATCTCATCCCTGGAGCCACAACCGCACAATGAACTTAACAACAATAACTTTGCATATATACAATTTCAACATAAAACATCTCAAGGCACTTCCCAGGGAGTTGTAAAAAGGAAATAACACAGTGTTACGTAAGAACAGGAGGGAGACAGATCAAAATTTTGGTACATTTTGGTTTCAAGGAGCATCTTAAGGGGGAAGTTAGAGCGACACAGTGCAGTGTAAGTGAGCGCTGGAGAAAATGTGAGAGTTGGAGTGGGGGTGGAGGGGGGGAGGGGGAGACAGACAGAGAGACAGAAAACAAGAGGGGGAGGGGCAGGTGTTAAGAGGCTGAGGGAGGGACTTCCAAACTTGAGGTCCAGGCTGCAGAAAACACAGCTGCCAATACTGTAGCATTTAAAATCGGTGATGCTCAATAGGCCAAAAATTAGTGAGAAATCCGGAGATGACAGAGGTTGCAGATAAAGGGACGAAGGGCAATAGAAGGAATTGAAAACAAGGATGAGAATTTTAAAATAAGGGTTAATTAAAATCATAGATGCGAAAGATGGATAACAAACACCTCAAAGAGGCACTGTAGGCAATAAAGGTAGACGTGGTTGTATTTTTAGATTGGGGAACGTTACTTAAAAATGGAAGGTCAAGGGTGAACAGTCAAAGAGCTCATGGCTAAAATGTAACGATTGTTCATTCATGTCTGGCGCAAAATTGCAAGGGGCAAGGTGGCCAAACCGTGACTTGGAAGGGAAATTAGATGGCAGTGGATCCAAGAAAGAGGCCTACAAATTGGCCATACATAAAAACAAAACATCTGAGGGGTTTCAGCGTTTAGAATTCAAAAAGGAGGACAAAGGGATTGATTAAGAATGGGAAAACAGTACGAGAGTAAAAGCAAGCTTGCAAGGAACTTAAAAACTGACTTTGAAATGTTTCTATAGGGGTGAAGAGAAAAAGACTGATGAAGACAAAGTAGGTCTTTTGCAGTCAGAAAGGGGAATTTATAATGACAGAGTGGCTGATCAATTAAATATGTACTTTGATTCTGCACACAAATAAGATACCAGAAATGTTGCAGAACACAGGGTTCAGTGACAGTGAGGAATGGAGAGAAATCAGCAGGTGTTGGGAAACTGATGGGATTGAAGGCTGATAAATCCTCAGGGTCTGATAGTCTACGTCCTAGAGTAGTGGCCCTAGAAAGTGGATGTTTTGGTGGTCATCTTCCAAGATTCTATAGAATCTGCAACAGTTCCTGCATATTGGAGGGCAATTAATGAAACCACTCTATTTAATAAGGGGGGCAGAGAGGAAACTGCGCATTATAGAGAGTAGTGGGAAAAATGTTAGGATAAACTATCAAGCATTTTACAGTAGAACACTTCGAAAACTATGGTAGAATCAGTCAGCATGGATTTATGAAAGGGAAATAGTGTTTGACAAATAAGGACATTAGTGAACGAGATGGGTTTTTCCAACAATTGACAATGGATTCACAGTTATCTGAGACTCCTAACTCCAGATATTTAGTGAATTCAAATTCCACTGTCTGCCGTGGTGGGATTTGAACCTGGGTTCCCAGAATGTTATCTGGGTCTCTGGATTAACAGTCCAGTGATAACACCACTAGGCCAATGCCTCCCCACTTCAATTATAGCGAAGGAGCAGCGATACTTCACTGCAATTACACACGAGCTTGGTGAGATTACACCTTGACTAGTTTGTGCAGTGTTGGTCTCCTTATAGGCAGAAGGATTTTCTTGGTATAGAGTGAGTGCAGCAAAGGTTTACCAGATGGATTCCTAGGATGGCAGAACTGACGTATGAGGAGAGTTTAGGATCATACTCGCTGGAGCTCAGAAGAATGAGGAGGCGGGGGGGGGGGGGGCAGAAAACTTATGAAATTCTAACAGGATTAGACAGGTTAGATGCAGCAACATGCTCCCAATGGCTGGGGAGTCCAGAACCAGGGGTCAGACGCTACAGCTACAGGATAAGCCATTCAGGACAGAGAGGAGGTGGCAGTCAAACAATCCACAAAATATATTTGCTCTGAAAGGGTAAACCAAAGTCTAATATGCCTGTCTAAACCACACCTTGATTAAAATTCTCATTAAATTCTTCTATGGCCTTGCCATGTTCAATCTCTGGAATGTCACCAACTTTATAGCCCTCCAAATTGCTGTTGTCCTGATTGTGGTCTTTTGTGCTTCTTCACCTAGAGTGGGGAGCCTGTGGGATTTGCTACTACAGAAAGTAGTTGAGCCTGAAATGTCAATTTCAAGTTCAAGGCGTTGGATACAGCATTTGGGTCTAAAGGGACCAAAAGGGGGGAACCAATTGCGGGGGGGGGGGGGAAATGGGGGGGGGAGAAGCCGAAACAGATCGAATTGGATGATTGGTGGGGTGGCACGGTGGCTCAGTAGTTAGCATTGCTGCCTCACAGCGCCAGGGACCCGGGTTCAATCCTGGTCTTGGGTGACTGTCTGTGTGGAGTTTGCACATTCTCCCCGTGTCTGCGTGGGTTTCTCCGGGGGCTCCAGTTTCCTCCCACAGTGCAAAGATGTGGAGGGTAGGTGGGTTGGCCACGCTAAATCGCCCATAGTGTCCAGGGATGTTTAGGTTAGGTGGGTTAAACAAGGGAAATGCAGGTGTAGGGGAATGGGTCTGGGTGGGATGTTCTGAGGGGCGAGGCGGACTTGTTGGGCCAAATGGCCTATTTCCACACTGTAGGGATTCTATGATTCTATAATCATAGTGAACAGTGGAGCATTGGCCTACTCCTGCTCTAATGTTTCTGTTTCTATGTTTATATCATATGAAGCAGTGAGGTAGCAGGAGAAACAAAGCTGCCCTTTCACACCTTGATCCAGGATACTATATAAACAGAGAATATTGGGAGATCACAAGAATAAAAAAAAAACTACCTCAAAATATGTGGCACTCGAGGGGAGGACTGTCGCTCCAGGGTATTGTGCGTATGTACAGGGTAAGCTGGTCCAACCTCTGATCCAACAGATGCATCGTTCAGCGAGAACAGGGAAACCGCTCTCTGGACTGGTGAATAAAAAGAGAAACAGAATTATCACTGGCAAATCCTGTTGGGGGAACCTCTCCTGTTTCATGCCGCCTTAGAGTCTCCGTGCAGAACATTCTGCTGTCGATTAGAAATCAGGGGTTCAAACTGTACTCCAGAGGCTTGAAGTCATCTGGGACAACATCCCCAGTGCAGCACAGGGATGGGGGTATTGTACAGTAAGAGATGTCATTTTTTTGGATGAAAAATTAAACTAAGCGCATCTTCAATTTGCAAGAACAATTTCTAATGGCATTACTCTAAGAAAGGGTATGTGCTCCAGGTGTCCTGACCATCAGTTATTCTGAACGTGTATCATTACAATACAGGTTACTTGGTCAATTATCTCACTCCTGTGTGTGGGACCTTAATGCAGATGGGCAGCTGCTTTAACCTACATTATAACAGTGACCATATTTCAAAAGCATCCCAAAGATGAACATTTATGCAGCATTTTTAACACAAAAAGCATCTCAAGGTGCTTCACACAGACCTTAACGAAGAAAATTTCATACCAGGCCAAGTAAGGACATGTTACGACAGATAAGCCAAAGTCTTGGTCAAATGTAGACTTTAAAAGGAATGGGTGGAGAGTTGGAGAGGCTTAGAGAAGGAATTCCAGAGCTCGGGGCCCAGGCAGCTGAAGGTATGGTCACCAACGTTGGGACTAATTAATCATCAGGATGCATAAAAGAGGCCATAATCAGAAGAGTGCAGCAATTTGGAAGACTGGAGCGTTTAAGAGGTTAGAGACTATAAGCAGCAAGGTCCTAGAGGAATTTAACAAGGATGAGAATTTTAAATCAAGATGTTGCTTAGACAGGCGGTTTGGACTTTTGATTGATCCTTTCCAGAGTATTTTTTTGGACCGTTTGCTTCTTTCCCCACCACCTGCCCCCAGCCCCCATGCCCCAATGTATTTAGTGATGAGCTCAACATGGCACACAAAACACAAGCGCAAATCCTCAAGGAAACATCTGGCAACTGAATGTGGGTTTTCAACAACTGAAGGGCTGCAGACATTTATTAGAGACAGCTGCTCCACAATGCACGGCTAGACACAGAGTGGTGACAATTTAACAGCACTCCCCCGTGGGAACAATCAAATGAATGGGAAAATCGTCATCGCTGGTCAAACCCAGGCTAAGGTGGGGGAAGGGTTAGAAAGCAATAACAAAACATAATTGTATGAAGAAAATCAATATTAGGGTAACACTATGAATAAAGCCTTTGCACAAAGCTAATTTAGTTTCCTTTATCCAGTGAAACAAACTAAGTGAAAAATGTTCCCTTTGAAGGCAGAAAGATAACCAACAGCCAATTACAGCTTTCCAAAATCTTACATTTTTGACAGAATGAAACCACAGTCTTATCACCTAGATTGTCTACCCCTCTGTCATCTGGCATTTATAAAGGACTATTATTCCTGCAATAAAAGAAAGGCAGCTCTTATGTGGTACTATTGTGTGGAAATGCAGTCAGAACCATAGAATAGTACAGTGCAGGAGGCAGCTATTTGGCCAATTGAGTCTGTGCCAGCTGTGTCAAAGAGCAATTCAGTTAGTTATGTTTGGCCCATAGCCCTTAAACTTTATGATTATTAATCCAAAACCTTTTACTACCAAATTCGTTTCCACCATGTCACCGACATGTTCCAAATCTCAACCACTAGCTGCTTAAAATATTTTATTTCACGTTGTCTCTGGCTCTTTTGCTAATCACCTTAAAATGCTGTCCCTGGTTATCAATCCTTCAGCCTCTAGTAACAGCTTTACCATAACATGTACAGCATCGAAACAAATCCTTCAGTTCAAATAGTATTCATGCCAGTGAACATACCAGATGCCAGTGTGAATCCTCCACTTCAGCCTCCTCCTCCCTTTCCTCATCATTTAAACTTCTGTTTCCTTCCTCCTCACATGCTTATCAAGCCCCCTGTTAAATGCAATCACTGGGCATTTTTGGGCTGAATGGCCTGCTTCTGTCATATTTGCTTGCTAAAACGTCAACCACTTCCTGTGGTAGCATATTCCATATTTTCACCACTCCTGGGGCAAAGAAGTTTCTTGCCAATTTCTTAGTGATTACTTTCCATTGGACAGCCTTTAGCTATGTTCATTCCCACCAAAGGAAAATGTTCACTCTAAAACCTCTGGTCAATTGCGCTCTGAACATGTCATGATTTTGAAGTTTTTATCAAATCTCAAGAGCAACCCCAGCTCCTCTGATCTAACCATA